GGAGAAAAGACCAACAATCTGATCTCCTAAAGATTGTTGTTGTTGTTGTGCCATTGAGTTGGTTCTGACCCATAGCAATCCTGTGTAGAGTTTTCTAGGAGCGGCTGGTGAGCTTGAACTGCCTACCTTGCAGTTCAAACAGACTTTGCTGTGCAGCCCCTTAGCCTGCGGTACTACTGGGAATCCCTGTGGAGCAGTTCTACTCTATCCCACAGGGTGGCTTTGAGTCAGACCTCCCTCCTCCCACCTACCCCCCAAACGAGCTAGGAACAGCTGAGTTTATAATGGAAATCCAAGACTTAGGAAGGCAGGTATGGCTTCAAAACAGCATAGGTGACACTTTTAGCAATCCCAGATGTAGAAACCCTATCCCTAAGCCATTTGGCTTTTGGGAGAGCAGAGATGTGATCTACATGTTCAGCTAGGGCTGTTTATTCATTGTTTTCTTGCCTTATCTAGAGGTAATCTCAGTGAGTGGACTCAAGGAGAGCCCTTCCAAAAGCCTAGTTCTGATTGGAAAAATTAGATTCTAAAACCATAAAATCCTCTGGGGAGTCAGCTTGATGCAGAGTAGGGGTGCTCGGGGGCAAAAAGCTCAGGAGGTCCAGAGGGCCCCCAGATATGAGTAGAACAGAAAGCTGAGGGAGGGGGTCAGACCAAACCAGTCCTGTTGCATTCATTTCTGGCCACCATATTTAGAAGGGCCTACGTCCACCCTGAAAGACACAAAGGGTACTGAGGGGACCAGTCAAATTAATGTCTGTTGAGGGTCTGCTGCAGATCTGGCTGGAATTAGTGCATTATTTCATTTAATCCCCATGCCCACTCTCATGGCAAAGCAGGGCCTTGTGTTAGAGATGGAAAATGAAGGCTCAGGGAGGTTAGGTAGCTTTCTAAGTCACAGAGCTCGTGGGTGGTAGAGCAAGCCTGGTGCTCTTTGTTTTGTGTTGTGCTGCCCCCTATGAAGGAGGGTGGAGGAGAAGGGAGGTAATTGGAGGAGAGATTTGGTGAGATGCAAGATACCCGCTTGAATTTCAGATAAAAAATCAATTGTTTTTTAGCATGTATATGTCACATGTAACATTTGGAGCATCGTTGTACTAAAACATTGTTTGTTGTTTATGTGCAGAAGCCTTGGTGACACAGTGGTTACGTGATTGGCTGCTAACCAGAAGGCTGGTGGTTCAAAACCACCATGTCCTCCATAGGGGAAAGATGTGGCAATCTGCCAAGATGGCAGAACAGGCAGACACACTGACATACCCTCTGCAACAAAAACATCAGAGAAAACATGGATTAGATACAGGTGGTGATCCTGGAACCCTGAGCTTCAAAAGATAGGACAGAAAGGTGGATTTAGTGCTGACTGGAAGACAAAGCTGAACAGGAGCAGCAAGAAAGTAGAAAAACAAGAGAGCTGTCACCTGGCATGGAGTGGCACGACCTCTTGATGTGACTGGAGATTGGAGACAAAGAGGGTACATTTTTCCCTTGTTCATGTGCCTTCCTGGTACTTGAGGGCATGGCCTGTCCCAACATCACCAAAGCAACAGCCAGTGACACCCCGTCCTGTGCAGTCTCTGTCAAGGGGCTGACGCCGGATATACCGCCCCTTCTTCTGGAGGCTTGTGAGCCCACCCTGAACGATGTTACACAAACAGTGACCAGAGAACTGTGTTCAGATTTCCAGTGTCTCACATCCACCAGGAGAAAAGTGATGAGCGCCTAAGAACATTAGCTACAATCATCAATTAAATATAAATAGATCGGCACCATGATATCTCTAAGTAAGGAGACAATTTCAGCTTACATGAAGAAACAAGAGCAAGTAATGCTAACAAGTGACCAAAATACAGTTAGAAAATATACCAGAAATGCTTTCTGAATTACTTGATAAGGAATTTAAAAGAATTCAATTTAAGTACCTTCAATGAATTGAAAGATCATGGAAAACAAGGAAGAGTCAGGAAAACAATGTAAGAACAAACTAAAAAAAAAAAATTAGAAAAATTAGAAACCATACAAAAACAGTAATTAGAAAGCTAGAAGATTGGTACTAAGACTTTAGTGAGAGATAATCCATTGAAAGGGCAAAGAAGTAAAATTGAATTAATGGAAAGCCAAATCAATGAGTTTGAAGACAAATCTCTCAATATTCATCTTTGAGAGGAACAGTTAGCATTGAAAAAAAAAAATTCTAAAGAAAGCTTAAGATTTATGCGGAATACTGTCAAGAGGAATAATTTATGTGTGATTGGAATTCCAGAACAGGAGGAGACAGACAAACAAAAAAGCATGGAGAAAAATTTCCATGAGTTCCTGGAAGAAAACTCTTCTCTAACATCATGAAAGACCAGAAGATAGCCATTCAAGAAATTAAACAAACTCCAAATAGAATACACCCCAAAAGAAAATCACTAAGACATATTATTATCAAACTTTTCAAAACCAAAGACAAGGAAAAAATGCTGAAAGCTGCTCAAGAACCACAAAAATGTGCCTACAGAGAAGAAATAATAAGACTAAGCTCTGATTTCTCAGCAGAAAGCATGCAGGCAAGAAGACAATGCAATGACATGTATAAAACTAGAAGAAAAATATGCCCAAATTGTCCACCAAATGTGATGACAAAATTAGCACATTAGAAAGCTAGAAGATTGATAGTAAGACTTTAGATAAAAAGAAATGAAAAGAATTTGCAGAAACCAAAACAACCTTATGAAAATTACTGAAGGGAGTTCTTTGGACAGAGAACCTACAACAGCAGGCAACAACCTGAGACTAATGTGCATGACACTATCACCCAGAACTGAACCCAGATAGAGAAGTATTCAAAGTAAAACAAACCAAGACTGAAAATAGGCAACTCGAGATACCAGTTTGCAACAACAACAAAAACATAAAGTGATAAGAGAGAAGAATGTAGTTATAGAACTTCCAAATGAAGAAGTCAAGTTGATTTCAAGAAAGAAAACCCCAACCTAACTGTAATCCGAAAACTTGACTATGCCTTACTCTATGCACCTAGCCCAACCCCTACCCTTAATCATAACCCTAGTCCTAACCCTAACTCTTTACTCCTACCTACCTTCCAGCCCCCCACCCCTCAAAAAAAGATTAGAGCCTTGGAATCCAGGCTATGAGGCAGTCCTACTTGGTCCTATCGGGCCACTGTGACTTGGAATCAACTCGATGGCAGTGGCTTTGGTTTCGGTTTTGGATTTGGTGGTTTATGTGAAATTCAAACTTAACTGGGCATCTGACATTTTCATTTGTTAAATCTGTCATCTCTCATTGAGAACCTAACTTTTGGGCTTTTGGGGGTGACAGGCTGACTCACGAGCCACACCATAAAGGCACGGGCTAGGATGGTAGTCCTCACTGCAGGCCGTGTTCAAGCATAGGCTGGGTAACTACTTGGTTGGGATATCATAGAAGGATTGAGATTTAAAGTGTTCCAGTGAGACTCCAGGAAATAACCATTGTGGGGACAAGTAGGAGAGTTGTTGACGAGGGTCCTCACAGCTCTGTAACTCTGAAGTCATTCCCCTTCAGCACCATGCTGAGAAGACCAGGCTCTCTCTGCTGCCCAAGACTGATGGATATCCTCACTCAACTGGTGGAAACCAATCCTGGCTAGTGGTTGGTTTAAATGGGTTGAAATGTGGTCTCTTGAAATAGTTTGGTTTGGCTGGAAGAAGCATGGTGTTAAAGGTAAAGTGAAACATACGTTTTTTGTTTGCCTTGCCAGGAATGGATTGAGATTTCCCGGTTCTTTAAGTATCTCAAGCACCAGAGTGTGACTCCTGTGATGTGCTAAAGACCGAAAGTGGCCTGCTGCGCTCCAGTTGCAAGTAGTAGCATGAAAAGCACTCACCCCCAAGGCTCTGCCCAGGCCTTTGCAGGCAAGTGAGTGGAGACAAGAGACTTGAGAGTGCTTATTTCTTTTCTTTCTTTAGAGATTTCTCTAGGTGTGACTACAGCTTGTCAGCAAGTCAGAATTTTTTAAACACAGCCTGCTTTTAATTGCTCATGTATGGCTTCTACCTTCTGTGAATTACCCACAGCAAAGATCTAATCTGTGGCCTACCTCCTCGTGCCCACCTACTTCCAGGTCCTGGTCTGTGCTGGGTGCCCAAACTCATTTTGATGCCAGTAATGAGAGACAAATCCACAGGGAAGAAAGTCTTTATAGAGGAGGCCTAGTGGTGCAGTAGTTAAGCACTCACTGCAAAGGTTGAAAGTTCAAACACACTGGCTACTCCTTAAGAAAAAAGACATTGAGATCTGCTCCCATGAAGATTCAAACTGAAAAACAGAACTCATTGCCACAGATTCAAAACCTATATAGGGTTTCCGAGACTATCACTTTTTACAGGAGCTGAAAACCTCATCTTTCTCCCAAGGAACAGCTGTTAGGTTTGAACTTCTGACCTTACAGTTAGCAGTCCTGTGTTTATCCTGAAGCACCACACCAGGGCTCCCCATGAAGATTACAGTCTAGGAGACTCTGTGGGGGCAGTTCAATTCTGTCAGATTGGTTGCTATGAGTCAAATAGACGTGACAGATTCTTGGCATGTATTCCAAATGACAGATTCTTGGCATGTATTCCAAACCAGATTGGCATTCGCTCAGTGCTGCTCCTCTCGATTGTTGGTGTTGTTAAGAGTTGTAGAGTTGATTTTGACTCATAGCCATTCTGATTAGGATTTCTGAGGGGCAGCTGGTCAGTTTGAACTACCAACCTTAGCAGTCTAATGCTTATCTTGCAGTACCACACCAGGACTTTCCTCCCCTCTATTAAGGAATTTTACCTTTGGTTTAATGATTAAATCAATAATTTAATATTAATTAAGTGTTAAGTACTCAGTCCAGATGCCATTATATCCCTGGATACTGTTAGCTGAAACCACCTGGGTTGTTTGGTTGGGTTTTACCTCCTGTGTAATTGATTTGTTTATAAGCAGCAGGCACGTCTCGCTTCTGTTTTCCAGGAAGACTCACTGAATGGCTGACATTGGACAGCATGCACCACCAGTGGCTTCTGTTGGCTGCGTGTTTTTGGGTGATTTTCATGTTTATGGTGGCTAGCAAGTTCATCACGCTGACCTTTAAAGATCCTGATGGTAGGTATGCGGCATAGTGTGATTGATTTTTGTTCACTAAGGAGTCCTGGTGTGACACTGTGGGTTAATGCGCTGGACTGCAAGGTTGGTGGTTCAAGCTCACCAGCTGCTCCACGGAAACCCTATACAGGGTTGTTATGGGTCAGAACCGACTCGATGGCACTTAACAATAACAACAAAAGGCCTTGCTGCAGCATTATTCTGAGTGACCTGCACAGATGACCTCTATCACAGAATCAAAGGATTTTCTGTTAGAAGGGAAGTTGGTGGGCACAGTTTCCAAATCCTTCATGGTATAGCGGTACAAGTGGGAAGGTGGAAAGAGATAGGAAGTACTTCCCAAGCACATCCCCTAGAGGACAGAAGTTGCTTTCTTTGGGGTCAGGGTGGTGGTGGAACGGGACTCCCAACAGTGCAGTGTGCTGAGTTTTGTTGCCTTGTCTCCATGCATCACAGATTCCTGGTTTGGGCATTGGCCGTGCTTCTTGATTAACATGTTCTGTGCTCCCAATATATTGTTCGGGTGGCCACATGTTTGAAGGCCACCTTCAAGGCAGTGGAAGGATGGTCTTATGCCAGGTTGTCTGTGGGGATTTCTAAACTCCCTATATTGAACCACTGAATGTAACTGTTCAAATGAGGATCTAAAATGAGCCCCAAGGCAGGCCTTAGGAGAACTGATTTCTAGTTCCTGCTCTTGTCATTTGCTTACTTGAACCTCAGTGGGGGGTTTTTAATGTGTATGTGTGTGTGTTGGTTTGTTTTTCATTCACATGGGTGTAATACCTGCTCTGACAGTCTCCCAAGACTGATGTGAGTGCAGCGTAGTTCTTTATAACCTTTGGTAGCGTAGTGGTTACGAATCGGGCTGTGAACCGGAAGGTCAGCAGTTCGAAACTACCAGCTGCTCCGCGGGAGAAAGATGAGGCGATCTGCTCCCGTAAAGATTTACAGCCTCGGAAACCCTATTCAGGGTCGCTATGGGTCGAAACCGACTTGACGGCACTTAACAACAACAACAACAACAGTGCTCTCATACTTTGGACGTATTGTCAGGAGGGAACAGTCGTTGGAGAAGGATGTCATGCTGGGTAAGATGGAGGGTCAGAGAAAAAGAGGAAGACCCCCAATGAGATGGATCATCCAGGTGGCATCATTGATGGCGTCAAGTGTAGCAGTGGTAGTGAGGTTGGCCCAGGATCAGACATTGTTTCGTTCTGCTGTACATGGGGTCGCTATGAGTCAGTTCCGACTCGATGGCAACTGACAACAACCAACAACAAGTGCTGGGGTGATAGTTAGATGCTGCTTCAGTGGCCAAGTCCACATACATTAGGATTTGAGGCACCAGGCAAGCCCAGAACTTGTGCCTAACAAGGATACCTGTGAATGTGGGTGAGAGCCCCATCTTTATTCTGCTGATTACAGCTTTTATAAAGGGGTACTTAGAAATGCATCCACACCCTGAAGTTTTCCTGACTTACTCCTGCGGGGGGTGCAGTCGATGCCACCAGTGTGACTGTTCCACATGCCTACTGCTATGCTGAGGGCTGCTCCAGGTGCCATCACCTGCTCACTTCCTCTCCAGTTCTCGCCCTGCCTGTAAAGGAGCAGCAGGATTGGAAGGATGTTCTGCCAGTGAGAGGAAAGTGCTGATCTTAGCCACAAATGGTGGTTCTCAGCGTCACGGTTTGCGCTCAGTAATATTTATTCGTTATGTAGTGCTGGGCTCTGACTGGCTGTCATCAGAAGTCCCTGGCTCATCTTCCAAGAGCCCTTATGAGAAGCCCTATGAGGTTTCACAGCTGTGGAAAGGCGGCTTTCCCACCCAGCAGGATTTGAGCTAGCCAGAGCATCACTGCTATCACAGGGCCATCTTCTCAATCAGAGAGAGGAACGAGGGTAGAATCAAGAGTTACAGGGTGGTTAGAATTTGAGATGCTCTCAGCTGGTGAGAACATTTCTCCAGTGAATCCCATGTGACTGATAATGGAGACCCCTTGTATGAGAGCAGTGGTTCTCGCCCCAGCTGCTGCTCTGGAGACTCTATACATTGTACTGCTTGGGCCTGGCCTGAGACCAAGTGAACAAGAATTTTCAGGCTTGGGGTTCAGGCAAATACATGTTTTTAAAGAAGCTCTGTAGTCCTCTGTCGACGATTCCAGGAGTTCTGGTGGCACAATGGGTTGAGTCTTGGGCTGCTAACTGCAAGACCAGTGATTTAAACCTACCAGCCACTCCTTGGGAGAAAAATGAGGCTGTCTGCTCCTGTAAAGATTTACAGACTCAGAAACCTTACTCGGTCTGTGTGAATGGGAACGATGACAGTGGAGTTCGTTTGGGGCTTCAGAAGTGATTCTGATCCACAGCAAGAATTGAGAACCTCGGGTGTGGAACATAGGTGAGAAATTGGAAGAAAAATAGTTTGTTGAGAATATGAAATCAAACTTGCTCGCAATTCTCATGAGTGTCATTTCCTAATAAGGAAGAAACCCCAAAAGCCTGAGGTCATGAGATTCCATTGTTTATGGTGTGTGTAATTAAAAAAAAATAATAGGTGTGCATGCAATATCTTTTAGAGAGTATTCTGTCAAAAAAACCCCAACAAAATAACCTAAATACAGTGTACTCATTCCTCAGTGTTCAGTGGTATCTGGTAAATAAGGTGTCATTATGCTATGATGTGGCACATTTTATGTTGCATGTTTTCAGAAAAGTGTGGAAGCCAGAGAAGGTTTTGTGAAGGAAAAGAAAAATTAGAACAAAATTGCTTTATAGTAATACCTATGAAGAAGATGAGCGGCATTAGGATTTTAAACCAGTTACCATTGGTTCACCTCTGACTTGACATCCATGTGTGTCCAAGTAGAATTGGGTTCCTTAGGATTTCCAGAGACTGATTAAAAAAAAAAAAAAAAGTAGTGTGCCAGGCCTTTCTTCCAAGGTGTCCCTGGGTAGACTTGAACCTCCACCTTTTTGGTTAAGTTGAGTATATTAACCATTTGCACTACTCAGGGACTTTGTTCACTGAGTATCTCCAGCCATCTCCCTTTAAGATGAGTGGTAGAAGGCGCAGCTTCCTGTCCTTTGACATATGATGAGGCTGTACAGTTGCTGTGTGGCTAGTAGATTCTGAATGAGGCATGGGGCCCCTCTGGGGACTTTAAAGCCAGTGCACGGTTCGCCTCCAGAATGCCAGCCTCTACAGTGAGCAGTGAATTTGTAGTGAGCATGAAACCCCTTCATTGTCAGGCCCATTGGAACAGGACACAATATAATTGTCCTTAAGTAAATGGTTAGGGTCACAAGATGGTGGTTCATGGAGTTCTGATCCAAACAGGATTTCTGGCCTGTCTGGAGAAGGTGAGCAGTTATCACTCCCCAGAGGCCGTTAGAAAAAGCCACCAGTGGGTGTGGGTGGTGAGGCATCTCCTGTCTCAGGGCACACGCTGAGGCTCCATCACTACTCCCTTCATTTAAGGACGGATGTCCAGGCTGCACGGTGCTTGCATCACTGCCATCTGGTGAAAGAAGATGTTCAGTCCAATAGGCAGACTGGGAGGGGACCCTCCAGCTGCAGCAGAGCATGCAGAGGGCTGGCATTAACAACCTAAAAGGAGCTTTTAATTTGGAAACTTTTTAGAAAGTGAAATATGTGCATGCCTTTGTGTAGCTGATGTACTTTTATTTGGTATGTCCTTTTTCTTCCCAAGTACATGGTTGTTGTTAAGTGCTGTCAAGTCAGTTCCGAGCCATACTGACCCTGTATAGGGTTTCCAACGAGCGGCTGGTGAGCTTGGACCGCAAACCTCGTGGTTCAAACTGATGTTGCAGTCCAGCACATTAACCCACAGTACCTCACCAGTACATGGTTGTTGTTGTTAAGTGCTGTTCAGTGAATTCCAACTCATAGAGAACCCTGTATAGGGTTTCCAAGGAACCATAGGTGGGTTTGAACTACCAGCCTTGTGGTTTGCAGCCCAGCACCACACTCTGAGAAATATTAAAAGTAAATATTTAATGGTTTGCAGAGATATGAAAGAAATGAGGTTATCTTTAAATTCTAAAATTCTGCCTCAAAGCTTCCAAAAAACAAAAATAGTTATAAATTACTCCGTTCCCTTGTCTTTCTTTTTTTAAATAAAAACGAATGTATAAGTGCTAATTTGACTTTTTTTTTCCAACTAAAATGTTCATTTTGAGATAATTTATAGATTCACATGCAATTATAAGAATTAACACTGAGTTTACCCTTTTTTCACCTGTTCCATCATGTAAAGACGATAGTGCCGGGATAGTGGTATTGATATAGCCAAGACCCAAAACACTGCCGCCCCCACAGGGCCCCCCGTGCTGCTCCCCCACAGTCAGTTCACCTCCCTCTCCTGGTCCGCGTTCTGACCCCCTACTCCCCACACACAGCCATTAATCTGCGCGCCATCCTCATAGTTTTATCATTCAAAAATGATAAAAATTAAATGATACAATATGTAACATTTCCCCCTCACCCACCCACCCAACATAATTCTCTGGAGATCTGTCCAAGTATCAATATGTCATTCTTTCTCATTGCTGAGTAATATTCCATGGTATGGACATGGCACAGTTATTTACCCATTGGACGACATCTGGATCATTTCCAGTTTGGAACTATTCAGAATAAAACTGCTATAAACATTTGTGTATGTGTTGTTGTTGTTTATATGAACATAGTCTTCATTTCTCTTGAATAAATTCCCACAGTATGGTAACTACTAGATCATGTGGTAGTTTCATAAAGAACTGTCAAACTCTTTTCCAGAATGAGTATACATACCATTTTGCATTCCCACCAGCAGCGTATGAGTGATGCAGTTTCTCCCCATACTTAGCAGCATTTGATGTTGCCACTACTTTTGTTTGAGACATTATATAGTGACACCCCATTATGGTTTTATAGTTGATGACTACTGATGTTGAACATCTTTTCATGTACTTAATTGCCATCTCTCTATCTTTTTGATGAAGTGCCTTTTTTTAAAAAAAAAAAAAAAAAGGTTTTTATTGTGGATTGAGTGAGAGTTTACAGGGCAGATCATCAGTTTTACATTCAACAAATCATACACCTTGTTTCATTACAATGATTATAATCCCCTCCATGTACCATCTAGTTAACAGCACTTCGCTCTATTCACTTTAGCTCTTTTTTTTTTAGACACTCAGGTATATATAGTAATTTACACCACCAAGGGCACATTCTGCAAGTCTGTCTCCTGGCTGCCAGCTCTTAGTCCCTCTCTTTCCATGATCTAGAGTCCTCAGCCACTCCCACTCTCCATGGCCCCATCTCTGCCTCCATCTCTGGTGTTGCTACTTCTCTGGATAAGGTCTCACATTCTGCTTGTGCTCTTCTCCCTCGATGGTCCTTGGGTCCTTTGTTTCTGGACTGTAAGATTAACTACCCCCCCATTTTTGTTACAAAACTTCTACCTTTACAATTGTGACAGTATCAATTAGTCACGATAACAATTACTCCCTATTGAGTAATAAGAATCTTATCCCCATCTCTTTTAACCAAACCCATCTGGACAAGATGAAAACTAGTCAGTGGGGACTCTTTTTTTTCCCCACACACTCTTAAACTCACCATTGAAACCTTTAAGCCAGTCACTTCTTGACTTTATCGCCTCCTCATTTTAGGTAGCCAGTGTCTAAGTTGCCCGTGCCTATCTACCCTGTGTACAGAGCGGATAGCATTGATGCTTGATGTGAAGATTCTCCCTCTCTGTTGGTATTTAGAACTACTACCTCCATAAGTATAGGTCAAGTTCATCAAATTGTAGCAATTTACCCTCATTTCCTTTATCAAAAATTGTTTTTTTTTAATCTTCCGCTAGTCCGAGTTCTGATTATTAGGCCATCGAGGCTAGGTCAAATGGGTACTATCTGCAACTTTGGGTGTTCTTGTGTATCTCCTCTCACTTCATATCAGCTAGATGCTTCACTCTCAACTATAGCCTTCTGTGGCTATGTCCTTGTCCATGGGCTCAGGTGTCCCCACGTCTCACCACACTTTGGACCAACCAGCCCTTGCTCTTCTCTCTTATCTTCAGGTCAACGGGAGTCTATGGAACATGGTTGGACTCAGCCCATTTCTTCATTGCTGCCTTTCCCCCTCTACCACTCACCAGTAGACCAGTGTAATCATCAGCAAGCTTACATGTCTCCTCATGTGTTCCCTTTGAGTTTCCATCTTAGAGTGGGGTTTGTCCTGAAGGGACTTGATTACTTGCCTTGATGGCTTCCTGGCGAACAGCTTCCTTATTCTTGTAGTAGCCAGTCATACTGACATTTTTGTTTTGGGTTTTTCCTGATGATCTTTCTTTGAAGATGTGTCTTCTGTCGCTCTAGCTCTTCCAGGCTGGTCTGCTTGTCCTCTCTATTGGGAATGTCTCACCTCAGAAGGTTCTGGATGAGAGTCAGGATTCTACCTAAGGTCCTATACACTGCAGAGGCTCTATAAGAGGCTTTTTTTTCACGGGGCACGTTCTAGAACCCCTTTTAGGTATTCCCATCAGTTATAGACTGAAGACTGGCTTACAAGCTTTGTGTAATCATGTTTCCCGACATTCCTTTCTATCCAACTTAAGTATCCATTTTACATTACTAGGCAAAGAAAATCAATATATGTAAGACAAACATCTTACTATTATTTCCCCTCTTCAAATTATGCCTTGAGCCCTGTATCACAGAGCCCTGTTGTTCCAAGGTTGAGTTGTTGTTGTTTTGTGCCATCGAGTCGGTTCCGACCCATAGCGACCCTGTACAGGGTTTCCGAGGGTGTAAATCTTTACGGGAGTAGAAAGCCTCATCTTTCTCCCGCGGTGCAGCTGGTAGTTTCGAACCACTGACCTTAAGGTTCGCAGCCCGATTCGTAACCACTACGCTACCAGAGCTCCTTTCCAAGGTTGAGTATGCATCACTAATTTACCTCTGTCCCATTTAACCTGTGCAAACCTGTCTCAGTGTTCCCCTATCTACCTTGTTCTTCCACCCTCTCATCCTTGTGTATTGCCCTCCCCAACACCAGAACTGTGATGTGTCTGCCGCCTACCCTGTGCCCTACCGTCGCCTCCCTCCACCTCTCCCAAACACCCAAACTCCACCCCCACTGGTAACCAGCAAAGAAATGTTTGTTTTTTCATTTGAGTATGGGTATCTTTTCTTAAGCCTTTACAATAATGGTCTTATGTAATATATGTCAGTTTGTGACTGACTAATTTCACTCAGCATAATGTCCTCAAGGTCATCCATGTTTTGTGGTGGATTGCAGCTTCCTTGTTGTTCTTCAAGGTAGCATAATATTCCATTGTGTGTATGTACCAAAGTTTGTTTATCCATTCTTCCACTGATGGTCACTTAGGCTGTCTCGGTTTTTTTGCTCTTGTGAATAGTGCTGCTATGAACGTTGGTGTGCATATATCTACTTGTGTTATGGCTCAGATTTCTTGTGGATATATACCAAGTAGAGAAATTGCTGGATCATGTAGTATTTCTGGTAGCATAGTGGTTACGAATCGGGCAGTGAACCGCAAGGTCAGCAGTTCAATGGGACTGTTCCATGGGAGAAAGATGCGGCGTTCTGCTCTTGTAAAGATTTACAGCCTCGGAAACCCTGAGTCAGAACCGACTCCACGGCCCAGAACAACAACAACATAGTATTTCTATTCCAACTTTCTGAGGAAGCGCCATACTGTTTTCCAGAGTGGTTGGACCATTTTGCATTCCCACCAGCAATGTAGGAGGGTCCCAGTCTCTCCACATCCTCCCCAGCATTTATTGTCCTCTGCATTTTTGAACTTCGCTGTTATTGCTGGTGTGCGCTGATATCTTATTGTTGTTTTGATTTGCATCTCTCTAATGGCTAATGGGTCGTTAAGAGTCAGAACTGACTCCATGGCACACCACCACCACCACCACCCCTGGCTAATGATCGTGAACATTTCTTCATATGTTTGTTGGCTGCCCGAATATCTTCTTTGGTGAAGTATCTGTTTATGTCCTGTGCACATTTTTTAATTGGGTTACTTTTTCTTGCAGAGGTATTGTAGTTTCCTATAGATTTTAGAAATGAGTCCCTTGTCTGTCATGTCATTGCAAAAGATTTTTTTCCCATTCTGTGGGCTCCCTTTTTACTCTTTAGGCGAAATCCTTTGATGCACATAAGTTTGTAATTTTTAGAACATCTCAATCATCTATTTTGTCTTCTTTTGTTTGTGTAATTTTCGCAATGTTTCGTATTCTGTGTGTGCCCAGGATTAAAGCCCTTAAATTTGTCCCTATTTTTTCATATAATTCTGGGATTTACATTTAGGTCTTTAATCCAAGCTGACTTGGTCTTTGTATATGGCATTAAGTAAAGGTCTTGTTTCAGTCTTTTGCATATCGATTTCCAGTTCTGCCAGGACCATCTGTTGAAGAGACTATGTCGTCCCCATTCAATGTACTTTGGCCCTTTGTCAAAGATCAGTTGGCTGTGTGTGGATGGGATTCTCAATTCTGTTCCATTGATCTATGTATCTTTCATGGTATCAAAACAGGCTGTTTTGACCACTGGAGCCATGTAATAAAATTTGAAATCAGGGTAGTGAGAGGCTTCTTAAGTAGTGCTTTGCTTATCCTGGGTCTCTTGATGAAGTGCCTTTTCATTCTTTATTCCATTTTCTAATTGGACTGTTAGTTCTTTTCAAAATTCTTGTTGAGTTTTGAAAGGTCTTTATATTTAGATATTACTCCTTTGTCATTTGGGTGGTTTATAAATATTTCTCCATAGTCAGTAGCTTGTTCCATCATCTTCAACAAGTCTTCTAGGAGCAAAGGTTTTTTTTAACTTTGATGTGATCTAGTTTGCTATTTTCTGAAGATTTTCACATATATTGTTGTAAAATTGTATCGTTTTTGTGTTTTGAATCTAAGTTTGTGACCTGTTTCAAATAATTTTTGTATAAGGTGTGAGACTTCAGTTGAGGTAATTTGGGGGCGGGGGGGAGTATTCAATTGCTCCAGCTCCATTTGTTGAAAAGACTTAGCCCTCTTTTCTTGAATTGCTTTCTCACCTTTGAAAAATATCAGTGGGTTTCATTTGCTTGGCTCCCTTTATAGGCTCAAAATTCTGTTCCATTGATCTGTGTGTAAAAAGACTTTGTAATGTCTCTGTCTTTTAGTATACAGTGCCAAACAGGAGATTCTGTTCCTGACAACCATGCCGGATGTGGGCAAGCTGCCAGTGGAGAAACACTTCCCCAAGGAACTGAAGGTGAGCAAGGCCCTAGCCCCCTCTCACCATGGTTGAGCAGGAGGAGCAGGACTGTTGGCACCCTCTGAGGAGGACCACCACACAGGGCCTTGGTCTGGCAGCACAACAGATGCTTTGGTGGTTGGGCCTCGTGCAGCAGTTGATACATGTGGAAAGCCTGGGAGGGGCTGCCCACCTTTGGCAGCTGCTGTGCAGACAGGATCCCTGAGAGTGAGGTGGAGTGTGATTCTGTCATTCAGGTACAGAACTCCAGCACGCACCTGCCCAGCATGCTGAGAGAACCTAAGTCCAGAGACTAGTCTGGGGTCAGTACTTATTTATAGAAATATTGTGCTTTCTGGGTGGATTTAAGCAGATTTCTTCTAGAAGCACATTACCCTTAAAAACTTATTTTTTTCTTTCTGTTCTTTGTTGGTGAATTTGAGCAGATTCTTTTTAGAAATAAGTATAGCTTCGGAAACACTTCTCTCTTCAGAACCTTCAAATATTTATTTTCTTGTTATAATGTATGGGCACCTTTTTGAAGAAACTCACCTGCCAGTCAGGTGAGTATAAAAGAGAAGGGTCACCGGCAGGACCAGGCCTTTCAGAGAAACCGATTGCCGCAAAAGAGAAACTCATCAATTATATCGGTCACGTATTTATTCAGCTATATTATGAGCCTGTGGTAAAGTCTCAGGGAATTGCAAGAGAGGTGTTCGACATGATCTTTAGCTTCTCTTGGCAGCTTTGCTGTAACTGCAAGAGGAACTTGTGAGGGGAAATGTATGTGTTGAATTCAGAGAGGACAGTTCTTTCCTTGGTTGTCTTCTTGTATGCGTCTTGTCCTGAGCTGGGCTTAGAACTGTGAGTTGGAGAAGGGGAATGGTGCAGATCCTGAGCTGTATTGGAAAGACAGCCTTGCTGCAGGAGTAGAAGAACACAAATGAAATCAGTGGCCTGGGAAGAATTGGACCAGCCGATTTCAGTGGCATCCTGCCTCCTTCATGATGGGGAGGGATGCCCATGAGCTTTGGGTACCATGGGGACCCAGGAGCTTAGACATCTCCCCTAGGAGCCTGCTGGTCCTAGGGGCAGGTGGGGTCATCAGAGGCACAGTCAAGGTGGTGGTCCTAGGGCTTTCAGGGTGGGTGGGGAGGCCTGGGGTTGTCACGAAATTACAAACTCATAGAAGTCGACTTAGTTGGGCCTCTCCATGTCTTTAACAAGTCACCAGATGGTTTCCCCTTTTCCTCGTATACCTGCTTTTTTAAGATGCATGTTACCGGTTGGGATCAGATATTGTCATTCCACAGTCTGGCCAGCCTTCTGCCTATCCCTGTCTTACCTGTAGTGTCTTCCCAACCCCAAGACGGGCAAGTTTCCTCAGGGTGCCCACCATGGCTTCCCTCCATCTCAGCACCATGAGCCTGCTCTCCTTGTTTCATGCTCTCATTTGAAGTACGCTTCCTCTTTAGCATTCTGCTTCAGAGGAGTTGCTTCTGTTACTTCTGCATGATTCTCTTGGTCTTTATAGCTTCGGTTTGGAGGAGATACAGGGTCACAGTGCTTAGTCCACCAAGGGTACTCTATAATGTTGGGTCTGTTAAATTCCTGACCAGCAAAGATAATTACACGTGCTAAGAGGATGGGGTTTGCTGGGTAAGGTCAGGATGCAAGCAGTCAAGAGAATGGGAAGAGATCTTTGACCCAGAGTCATTGAATTTTAGAGAGAAAAAGGATCTTGGAGAGTAGAGCACTTAATCTGTCCTCCCAATTGTGTGGACAAGAGAACTGATTCTGAGGGGGAAAAAATTAAAACTCACATGTGAGTTGCTGGCCGAGCCCCAAATCACTAACTTCTATACAACATCACCTTCCTAGGCATTCTGATGCCAGTCTTTCTCCTCAGGTTTCTTTTGTGCTTTAATATAGAATAATTCCCTACCCAGGATGGAGTCCTACTGTGGCACTGTAGGATAAACACTGGACAGCTGACCATAAGGTCAGCGGTTCAAACCCATCAGCCACTTCTTGGAAACCCTACACAGGATCACTATGAGTCAGAACCGACTTGACAGCACTTAACCACAACAACCACTACCTAGGATAGGGGAAGGTCCCCCTCTGTCTTGCTAACCCCCGATTCTGGGTCTGGAAGCCTTAGTAGGCAGTTGTGCCAGAAGAATGAAATGATGGGTCAAACAAGCTAAAGATGTTGGCTAAGAGAGAAGGGCACAGTTCTCCCGAGGGTCACAGTAGAAGAACTGTACATTAGAACCCGCTAAAGTATACATCAAGGAGCTCTGGTTGCATAGTGGTTACAAATCTGACTGTGAACCGCAAGGTCAGCAGTTCGAAACTACCAGCTGTTCCGCGGGAGAAAGAGGAGGCTTTCTGCTCCCATAAAGATTTACAGCCAAGGAGTTACAGCCTCAGAAACCCTATATAGGGTCGCTATGAGTCGGAACCGACTCCACGGCACATAACAACAACAACAACAAAGTATATATCTGGTCAGAGCAAAGTGCTCTTGGAGTTTTCCTTGTCATGGGACATTGATGATCAAGTCTATAAAAATCTTTGAGAGGGCTCTGGAATGTTGCTGTTTACTCATGACATCCCAGGGCAAAGGAAGAATCTGAATGGACGACACTCACAAGAAACCGTAACCCAAGAAACTAGGAGGGTGACTAATAGGAGTGAAGGAGGTCAATGCTTAGTTATGTGTATAAATAATAACACAAAGGTAGGGACTTCAGCCTGCAAGATGTTTGTAAGAGGAATAAAGTGCTTTATGACCAGGTACTTCTAGGACATTTGAACTGGAGAAGAAAGCATAGCATACTATTTGTTACTGTAAATGGGGGTGGGAATGTCCTTCTTATTAAGATTGTTGTCTGAAGAAGTTACTGTGAGTGAAAATACTGCACTTAAACGTACTTTATACTTTACAAAGCTCTTAGGTGGTGGTGGTGGTGGTGGTGTGCTGTGGTGTCAGTTCCGACTCATAGCGACCCTGTAGTTCCAAGGCTGTAAATCTTCACAGGAGCAGAAAGCCTCATCTTTCTCCCTCAGAACGGCTGGTAGTAGGTCATAATCTCATTTGGTCCTCAGAGCAGCTGTCTGTGGTGTAAATATTTTAGTTTGCATTTTACAGTTGGAAAACACAAGGCTTAAGGAACATATTGGTTGGTCACTGGCCCAATATGCCACTAACAGCAAGTAGTGGGCCTGGAGTTTGAACTCTCTGTTCTCTGCCCCCTTCTCTTCCTACCCTATCCCACTGACTCCCATAAAACTCAGATGTGAGGTGATGGAAAGGGGGAACAGTTGTCACAAATAATCCACAGAGACCAAGAATTGTTATATAACATTCAAACTCAGCAGATGAATTCCTCAAAGGATTTATTTATAAATGTGACTGGGTTAGGTAACTTACCTTTAAAAAGATTATCTTGTACATAAGGTAGCTGAATGTTTGAATGAAAAATAACAGACAATAATATCAGTAATTACAGTTGGTACTGTGCATTTGCAAAGTTCAAAAAAAAAGAAGAAAAATGCTAAGCAGTACAAGTAATTAAAAGCACAACTGAATGGGAGATTGTTTTACTCTGTATTTGGTGTTGACGCATAAAGATAAGCAGCATTTGTAAATGACAAAGTTGTTGTTAAGTGCCATCGAGTCAATTCTGACCCATAGCGACCCTGTATAGAGTTTTTGATGAGCAGCTGGTGAGCTTGAACCACCAACCTTACAGTTCAAATAGCTTTGCAGTCTGGCACATTAACTCACAACACCACACCAGGACTCAAGCAGATGGGAAGTTTTTCTGCTCTTTCTTAGAAGAATTTGTTGTGAGTTGGCCATTCTACAGGGCACAGTTCTAGAATGTCATCCACAATCGGTGTTAGGTTTGAGGTTTACAAAATTGCAACAGAGTGAAAAGAAGAGCGAGACTCTCAGGGTCAGTGAGCCCGAGTTGTGTTTGGTGAGAGCACCAACAGTTAAAGCAGTGAAGGTACTGCCCCCGGTGTAGTTCCCTGGAGTACTGCAGGGAACTGGAGGACCAGGCTGTGTTTGTGACTCTTGTAGGTAGGAATGGAAGTTACTCTGTGAAGGACCAGAGTCAGGTAGGTCTACATGTAACCACTGTCACTTCCAAAATGTTTATAAGATGGTGGTCTCAGGAAGCATGCCATTGGGGATCCCCACGCCATTCTTTCTTCTGCCAGGGAAGCCCAGGTTCCAGTTAAACATAAGAGATAAAAAGAGTATTCTGGGAAAAGTTTATACATGTGGAGGAGCAGGGGCGGTGTGTGTGTGTAACACACACCTCTTGCTATTCCTCATGGTAGTGTGTTTTTAAGAAGCTTACATCCTACTCCCCACTCAATGAAACTAATCCTGTCCACAGGGAATACAGGTGGTTACAGCTACCCCATTAATTGATTGCCTGACAAGTCTTTTTTTAAGTGCCGTCGAGGGTATTCCAACAAATAGTGACCCTGTATAGGGTTTCTGAGGAGTGGCTGGTGGGTTTGAACCGCTGACCTTTCGGTTCAAACCGACGTTTTGGTCCAGCACATTATCCTACAGTGTCACTGCATGTTAAAAGCTACAGAAAGGTTATTTCAGTAAAGTTAATTTAGAGGGACAAGCTGTTTTCACATCTTGGGAAGGAGTTCTATGTAACTTTAAGGAAATAACTGGACAACTCTGTTTGTAGCTGTAAAAGCATTATAAACCGTTAAGCCACAATTTGAGGTAGCCAAAGGAATGAGGCTAGAGGAAACAGCTCCCATCTCTACCTATTCAGTTGCCTTAAGGACACCTCTTGGAGAATAAGGAGACATTGAGTCTCTGTGAACAGTGAGTCGCTGAACAACTTCTGTGTGTGCTGGCGAGTCTCCCTTGCCTCCCTCCCTCCTCAACACACACACACAGTGCCACATGTATGTTCATTCATTGAGGCTTTCTCCAGTGTTTTATTTAGCAAAACAGTGCAACTGAACTC